TCCCTATCAATAAGAAGTTATATCATCATCCATAACTGCAATCATGGTTTACACCGATCAGGACTGGCAGTCCATCAACACCATCCGTACCTTGGCTGTAAGTTCATCCCTCAGAATAACCCCGCCCTCGTCATAAGAAGCAGCGTCATAGGATGCCCGGCGCGCCCTCCCCCCCCCCTTCCCTCACCGCGCCCGATATCGACGACGCCAATCTGACGACGGCGAGGATCGGGATAATTATGTTGATGACAGGCAGCTAATGACTTCTCCGTGCTCAGATCGATGCGACCTTCGCGGCCAACTCCGGTCACCCGGGTGCCCCAATGGGCATGGCCCCAGTGGCCCACGTCCTCTGGAACAGGATCATGAACTACAACCCAAAGAACCCAAAGTGGATCAACCGCGATAGATTCGTGCTTTCGTGAGTATTCCATTCTTCCTGTACTCATCATTTCGCCAATGCTGGAATGCCATTGCGGTTATCGGAGCGCGCATCAGTCGGGCGCCTGCAGTTCCCAGCCATATAGGAAGGGAATTGCAAGATCATAGCATTGGCTCCGATGCAATGATGACCACATTTATCGCCTTCAATTTTGTGGTTTAGATGTCTCTACCTAAAGGCGGGGATGCATCAAGAAATCAGCGGTGAAGTTCCGACAGCTAACCGCCTCATAGTAACGGCCACGGATGCATGCTTCAATACGCTCTTCTCCACCTTGCCGGTTTCGACCTCACAATCGATGACCTGAAGAACTTCAGAGTACGTGATACGTGCTCCCACATTCTCCACTTCGTTAACAAACTTTAGCACGTCGACAGCATCACCCCGGTCACGGGAATCCCACGATACCCCTGGCATTGAGGTCACCACTGGCCCTCTCGGCCAAGGTTTTGCTAACGCTGTTGGTCTTGCCATTGCCCAAGAGCACACTGCCGCCCAGTTCAACAAGCCCGGATTCGAGCTTATTAACAACCACACATATGTCTTTATGGGCGACGGATGCCACATGGAGGGTGTTGCCAGCGAGGCTGCCTCCATGGCCGGTCACTTGCAATTGGGCAACCTGATCGCCATCTACGATGACAACAGCATCTCCATTGATGGTAACACCAACTGTGCTTTCACTGAGGATGTTAACAAGCGTATGGAGGCATACGGATGGCACTGCGTGACCGTCGGCGACGGAGACCACGACCTGGACTCGATAGAGGCGGCCATCAAGGCTTGCCAGGCTGTCAAGGACAAGCCATCCATGATCAAGCTCCGCACAACCATCGGCTTCGGCTCGAAGCTCGAGGGAACCGGTGGTGTCCACGGTGCCCCGCTGAAGAAGGATGATATCATCCAGGTTAAGGAGAAGTTCGGCTTCAACCCAGAGGAGACCTTCGTTGTCCCCCAGGGAGTCCACGAGCAATACGCCAAGAAGAGCGCCGAGGGTGCCGCTCTCGAGCAGGAGTGGAACCAGCTCTTGGAGAAGTACTCCAAGGAGCACAGCGTCGAGGCGGCTGACCTCAAGCGTCGCCAGACCGGTGCCCTTCCCGACGGATGGGAGAAGAACCTGCCCGTCTACACACCAGCCGACAAGGCCGTTGCGTCGAGAAAGCTCTCCGAGATCGTTCTCGGCAAGATCCACGACGCCATCCCAGAGTTGGTCGGAGGATCCGCAGATTTGACCGGCTCCAACCTCACAAGGTGGAAGGATGCCGTTGACTTCCAGCCCCCGTCCACCGGACTCGGTGACTGGAGCGGTCGCTATATCAGATACGGTGTCCGCGAGCACGCCATGGGAGCCGTCATGAATGGTCTCGCCGCCTACGGAACCATCCTCCCATACGGAGGAACATTCCTAAACTTCGTCTCCTACGCCGCCGGCGCCGTCCGCCTGTCCGCTCTCTCCCGCGAGCGCGTCATCTGGGTCGCCACCCACGACTCCATCGGCCTCGGCGAGGATGGACCAACTCACCAGCCTATCGAGACCTCGCGCACTTCCGCGCCCTGCCCAACTGCATGGTCTGGCGCCCAGCTGACGGAAACGAGACCAGCGCCGCCTACTACATCGCCCTCACCTCCCTACACACCCCCTCCATCCTGGCCCTCTCCGCCAGGACCTCCCTCAACTCGAGAACTCCACCATTGCGTCCGCGATCAAGGGTGGTTACGTCGTGCACGAGGCCGAGAAGGCTGACATCACCATTGTGTCCACTGGTTCGGAAGTCGGCATCTGTGTCGACGCTATCAAGACCCTCAAGGATCAGAACAACCTCACCGCTCGTGTCGTCTCCATCCCCTGCTTCGAGGTCTTCGATGTGCAGTCCAGGGAGTACAGACTCTCTGTTCTGCCAGATGGTATCCCATCCCTGTCGGTCGAGGTCATGTCCACCATGGGCTGGGAGAGGTATACCCACGAGCAGTTCGGACTTAACCGCTTCGGTGCTTCGGGTGCTTACAAGGATGTTTACAAGGTATGTGTTCACCACCCCGAGTAACTGGCTTAAAATAAAATAGCTCACTGACACCCCATATAGAAGTTCGAGTTCACCCCAGAGGGCATCGCCAAGCGCGCTGTCGCCACCGTGGACTTCTGGAAGGACGTCCCGAACATCCGCTCGCCTATTAACCGCGCTTTCCAGCAACTTATCTAAGTTAAGTGATGGGAGGTTAGGAGGTTGGTGGGGCAAAGGGGGTAAAGAAGGTGCGAGGAGGTGAAGAGCAAAGAAAAAGAAAGGTGCGGGAGGTGGGAAGCGTGCCGTGTATTGTTGTAGCTCTTGCGGGTAGTTAAGACTATATACATATTATTTGGTATGATTTGGGGCAGATGATGTGAAGTATCACAGCAGATGATGTGAAGTGTACTACTGTGATATATACATGTTGAAGTGTATGATATCACTTGCAGCGGTAGTATAAGTATCAAGTTGAGTTGAACAACAGTTCACTGGAATATGTGTTGTATTGTTGTTTTGAGTGAAGCTATCTACAGAACTATTTGTGGGTGGTCCGCAACCCGATTCGGTTGGCGAGCCACACGCCCAACCAATCAGTCTGAGCAACCTCCTCCTTCAACATACAGTATATATCACAGTAGTACACTTCACATCATCTGCCCCAACTCATACCAAATAATATGTATATAGTCTTAATTACCCGCAAGAGCTACAACAATACACAGGGTTAGAAAATCAATTATAATCATGATTATTTATTTAGTCGTAACGTATTTCACAAGCGAGTCGGCATCCTAAGCGAGTCGGCAGCAAAACACCAAAACGCGTCAACCTAACTGTAGTTAGCGAGTCGGTAGCAAAAACACCAAACTACAGTCAACATGCCGCAAACAACACAAGCTAAATACTCTAATCAAGAGGGTAGAATACTATTAGCTATACGAGTAATCAAACAAGGCACTTGTCAAACTATTCAAGCAGCTGCAGTATCATACGATGTACCCTATACAACCTTAAGTGACCAGATCCATCGCATGACTTCTTAACGTGACTCTACTCTTAAGTCATGTAAGTCGACTCTATATGAAGAATCAGCTCTCGTTCAATATATCCTTGACCTAGATTCACATGGATTTCTGCCCTAGCTACAAGCTGTATAAAAAATGGCCGACTCTCTAAACAAGGTGAGAGCCCTGTTAGGAAGTACTAGACTACTAACTGTAATGGTGGGTGCACCAGATGTGAGAATCTAGCCACCCAAGGAAGGGATGATTTTACTAAGACAACACACACTGTCTTAGGAAAGAGCCAAAGGGTCGTAGCTTAGACTATTCCACAACACAGCAATCAGGTGTATGATGTAGTGGAGTGGTTTAGACAAGTTGTAACAAATATTGAGTCTGAGAACTCGGGGATAAGTCAGAGGTTAGCACCTCACTGACTTTTCAGAAACAAGGAGTAACAAGATCAATGCTTGGAAGCTTGGAAAAGACGTGGAAGTATGTGATAGTCGATTTACTGTATTGTCTGCTTGCCCTTTCTTAAGGAAAGGGCAATCCTATTTATGCTAAAGGAGTGTAGTTCTCTCATTTTCCAAGACTTTCCATGACTAACCAGGCTTGGTAACTGTAGTCGACGTAAGAGAATCCCATAGAACCATCTCCTAGGTTCCTAGCCTATAGGAAGTGAAAGGAGGTCCAAGGTCATAGACAAATTATGTCATAGACAAATTATGTCATAGACAAATTATGTCATAACTTAACCAATCTTGTGGGTAACTAAAGAGCGATGACATGTAATGAATCATAGAGGTTCGTAGGAGCTTTTAGAGCTATCGTTCATGCTCCTAGGCCTCTAGTTGGTAGAGATATGTCATGTGGTAGTATGAGTGATGTCATGTAATGAATCATAGAGGGTTGTAGAGATATGCTATGTGGTAATTGTCATACTGACATTTGTTGCACTCAGTTTGCTATCAAACTCAAGAGCAAACTTAGAAATCTCCTCCTCAAACCTACAAGTCACCATACATATCTTGGCTTATCACACCAACAACAGAAGCAATACTACTCAACGATTGCTGCAAACTCTTCTACTACATCTGTTTATGCTACATACATCACAGCATATTATTTGGACACTCATTGAACAAGTTATTAAGAATATCTCCTCCTTAAGGGGGTGGGCCAATACTACCACATGGCATATCTCTACCAACTAGAGGCCTAGGAACATGAACGATAGCTCTAGAAGCTTCTACAACCCTCTATGATTCATTACACGTCATCGCTCCTTAGTTACCCACAAGATTGGTTAAGTTATGACATAATTTGTCTATAGGTACTCTGACCTTGGACCTCCTTTTCACTTCCTATAGGCTAGGAACCCAAGAGATGGTTCTATGGGATTCTCTTACGTTCACTACATGATTAGCAAGCTAGTTGTGGGTTGCACTTGATTTCTAATACATTTACCAAGCCTGGTTAGTCATGGAAAGTCATGGAAAATGAGAGAACTACACTCCTTTGGCATAATCTAGAGCTATCGTTCATGTTCCTAGGCCTCTAGTTGGTAGAGATATGCCATGTGGTAGTATTGGCCCACCCCTTAAGACTTCTGGTCATATCTTGCCTGTCTCTGGTTGATTCGATAGGTCCGTACGACCGCCTCAAACTCATATGACCAGAAGTCTCAGGGGGAACATGGAGTTTTCGCAACACAAGAAGGCAATAAAGAGACATCTGCTACCCTTTGGCTCTGTTTCCTAAGACAGTGTGTTGTCTTAGTAAATTCATCCCTTCCTCTTGTGTTGCGAAAACTCCATGTTCCCCCTGAGACTTCTGGTCATATCTTGCCTGTCTCTGGTTGATTCGATAGGTCCGTACGACCGCCTCAAACTCATATTCCTTTGTCCCTTTGTTGAGTTTGAATATCCATGGGTGTAATGGTGGGTGCACCAGATATGAGAATCTAGCCACCCAAGGAAGGGATGAATTTACTAAGACAACACACTGTCTTAGGAAACAGAGCCAAAGGGTTGTAGCTTAGACTATTCTGGCATATCTCTACCAACTAGAGGCCTAGGAACATGAACGATAGCTCTAGAAGCTTCTACAACCCTCTATGATTCATTACACGTCATCGCTCCTTAGTTACCCACAAGATTGGTTAAGTTATGACATAATTTGCCCTTTCTTAAGGAAAGGGCAAGCAGGCAATACAGTAAATCGACTAGCACATACTTCTACGTCTTTTCCAAGCTTCCAAGCATTGATCTTGTTATTCTCTGTTTTTGAAAAGTGAGTGAGGTGCTAACCTCTGACTTACCCCTGAGTTCTCAGACTCAACATTTGTTGCAACTTGTCTAAACCACTTCACCACATTATACACCTGATTGCTGCGTTGTGGAATAGTCTAAGCTACAACCCTTTGGCTCTGTTTCCTAAGACAGTGTGTTGTCTTAGTAAATTCATCCCTTCCTTGGGTGGCTAGATTCTCATATCTGGTGCACCCACCATTACACCCATGGATATTCAAACTCAACAAAGGGACAAAGGAATATGAGTTTGAGGCGGTCGTACGGACCTATCGAATCAACCAGAGACAGGCAAGATATGACCAGAAGTCTCAGGGGGAACATGGAGTTTTCGCAACACAAGAAGGCAATAAAGAGACATCTGCTACCCTTCAGAACTGTACAAACAACCTACAACAAGGACAACAGGGTTGGAATAACGGGAAGAAGAACAAGGAGCCCCGAACAGATTGCCCTTGTGGCTCTATCCATAAGTGGAGGGACTGCTTATATGTCATGAAGTCGAAGCGTATGAAGTCATGGAAGCTAAACCGAGACATTGAAGCTAAAGTTGATGCCTACATAAGTGAAAAGCCAGGCTTTCAATACTGCATTCAAAGGGCACTAGACCAGGACAAGGTGAATGGAGGACAACCCCGTACGAACCAGGATCTACCTGTTTCCTTTGCAACAGCCTTCCAAGTCACTCAAGGTCTTACCCTCTCAACCTATGAGCTTGCAAGGAGCACAATCCTTGATTCTGGAGCTACAATTCATGTCTGTAACGACCGTACGAGGTTCTACAACCTAAAGGAATGTGAGGACAGAAACTACCTCTTAGCTGGAGACCAGAGAGTAAGGATTGAAGGGTTCGGGTCCGTGGACATCAAAGTCCAGGTTGGAAAGGACACAAAGTCCGTACGAACCATAACACTCCACAAAACAGCCCTCGTTTCCTCATTCCACACCTCTGTTGCATCCTTAAAACGATTCATCCAAAAGGGAGTCCATTGGAATATAGCTACAGAAGGACTCACGTACAAAGGAAAGCCGTTCTGCAACACTCCAGTTATCCATGGACAATTGGTCCTTGAATATATTAAGAATGACAATACAAAAGTCCTTCAAAACGCAGCCCTATCAATGACTCAAGTGCACCAAGATACTGTTCTATCCTCGTACGGACCTCGCAAAGACCTAACAGGCACTGCAAAGGAGTGGCATAATCGAATGGGCCACCTTAATCAAAACGCAATAAGGAAGCTCCAAGAGAAGACCCAAGGGGTTATTGTCACAGACATGGATTCGTACGACACTACCCATGCTACAAAAAGGATCTCGCAAAGATCTACACCACGGTCACAGATCCCTTATGAGAAGGTGCACCTAGACCTTATCCAGATGCCAGAAGCGTACGATGGTAGCACACAGGCCCTACACTTACAGTGTGATTTCTGCCGCATGAACCATGTCTACACCATTAAAGACAAGAGGCAAGGCACAGTCCTACAAACAATTAAGGACTTTGTAAGCTACGTACGGAGACGATGGGGTTATAAGGTAAAGATCTTCTTCCTTGATGGTGAGAGATCACTTGGAGATGAATGGGATGCATGGATTGCAGACGAAAATCTAATACTCAGACTCAACTCCCGGCTCTCTCCCCTCAAGCTTCCACTTCCCAATCGTCTTCTTCACCGCAAACTTCGTCTCATCCTTCGCGAACTGCAGATTTCTCATCGGTTTCCACTGCCCCCACCTCTGCTTCCGATGCAAATCCTTCACATCAGCCTTTGTCTGCACCTCCCCATCCGCCGCCGCCGGCCCCTCCTGCTCCCTCGACGTCGT